TTTTATTGTTAATATTGTCATGGCGTTGGCACCAAGCTTGATCTCAAGCCGGTGTTAAATACATAATATATATAACCGTCTCTGTATGTGCATTGTCTTCGCTTGGTATATGACCATAATGGTTGGGATCAAGCTCCGTTCTCCATCTTCAACGGACGACGAAAACCAGCTCGCTGTCAAAGAAAATTTTTTATATCAATGAACTGCTTGAGGAGGAATCAAGCGTATGGCCACAAACAGGAGCAATCGTCGAGTCTGCAACGGTAACGAACGAAGGGGTTACTCAAGATCCGTTCCGTTATTCGATGTTAGTATTGCTAGTTTTCTAGATGCTTGATATGATGTTAGAAAAAGACCACAAACGGCAGTAAACCACAGCAATGAATTACAACGGCGAGCAATGTTGAAGTACGAAAGGTAGGAAAGTTGAAAAATGATGTGATAAGTTACAAAAGTTGAATGACTATAGCTTGGGATGCGGATAATGGAAGATTCTCCTAGCTGGACGTTTTGCTTGCAGACGTTACGTGGCTGGATTAAGCGACATCATCGGTGCGATTTCGCGAGAGTGCCGGTACTCAGTTTGAGCGGGGTTATGCGGTTATATATTGATTGACTCCCTGCAGCCCTCTATCACTATTGATCAATTTGATCTTGTTGGCAAATACAATTCGACGCCATTATCCACGTGGAGGATAGGGCTGTGTTTATAATCAAATCTATAACAAAGTTAAACAGAAAAGGAGAGAGGGGGGCCACCCTGACGAAAACTACTTTCCGCGGTGAACTCGGGCGAAAAAGTGCCGTAAGCTCGGACTCGACTTCGGCTATTAGTATAGACGGATCGTAATATTGAAAAGCACATCTCGGGAACACTCTTCAGGGAAAAGTAGCGCCAGAGTTCAGAGCGGCCGACTGAGTCGAAAGCCGCTTTCACCTCTAGGAAGCCAAAGATGGTGGGCCTACAAAAAGAAAGTGCGAAGAGTGAAGATGTGGTCGATACAACCTCGACCAGGTCGAAAACCAGCCTGGTTCTCACGCGTGCACCGTTCACGTGCCGCTGAAAATCAAGGGAGTAGGATTCCACCGAAACGTTTAGAGACAATGTTGAATAAACTGATTCTCCTGTGGTTTTCACAAGAGGATGTGTCACCTTTCGTATGGAACGGTATGATGACCGATTCACACCATTCCGTTGGAACCTGTTCTCTCTTCTATTTTGAACCCAGGAGTTTCATCAACTCCATAACGATGGCTGACCCTCCATCCTTAAGAACTAAAAAACCGATAGGGACAGTCCATCCGAGCTCGGATGAGGCCCCATATCTTGCGGGCAACTGATTTTCCGAGTAACCTCTATTTCAGATGAAGGAATAATATCTAATGACAGTATCCGTTCAACCGAAGCAGGCGGTAGGAGGATTCGCGTCCACAGGGGCCAGCTGAATCGTGCCGTAAAATATTCTTCCCATTGTTCAAGACGGCGTTGCTGACTATGAATCAATGTATCGTCAGACACCTTAATTGTCTCACTGATGTCCAATTTCCTTGAGCCTGTACTCCTAATTTAAAGGAAGAAGATTGTGACCATTATCAATAGCCGCAGTCTTCTTCAGATCATCACACTTACCTATCCACAACTTCTCGCGGTCATTCCTCTGACTCTGGATGAGAGAGGCGTTTAAAGGATTTGTGTGCTTTATCGTATTTTTGTGAGCGTCCATCACAGCAGCCGAGGTCGACGAGATCCATCGTTTTTGCTCTGATCGTACGTCGGAATCAGCCGTTGTTTTGACTGATATTTATATTGCTTCCTTGATTGCTGTCAAACAATCACTGAGACCTTCGGCTGATGGTTGAGCTGAAAGGCGATCATAGAGTTCCGCTTCAGAAGCCAGTTGGCAACTATCGTTGACAGTGTTCCATGGGCCTCGTTGCCTGTGGCTTTTCCGTGGTGGTTCGCCAGACGTAGGGAGAATTTGTCTCGTAGCACGGTATGGTCCCAGTCCAGTGGTGTTGACCAATAAAAGCGGCAGTCTTCGACGTACTCTCGCCAGCGGTAACTGATGGCGACGTGGTCGGTTTGGATCCAGCGCTGCGAAGAGGTTGTCTGTCTCCGTGTAAGGCGGTGTCGTATCTTGTGCGAAAATTTTGTTTGACAGGAACAATCCGTGGTCTGCGTATATTTGAAGTAGACGACCTCCGTTATTCTTTCGGTTGGATGGGATTGCATGTAAACCGCTATGAAGTCTCTAATTCGTCCAGCTATCCTCCTTGAGCATTAAAGTCTCCGGTGACTACTACGACGTCCGATGATCAGATACTTTGGAGTAATTGAGAGAGGTCCCTTTAGCCTTTATCCTTGCTTTCATATGTACTGCAATCCGTCGGTTCATACATCGATATGAGGAATAAGCAACGACGCTTCGTTCAGTAGCTGTTGATACTAACTGAACCGTTGAGACGTACAGCACACAGTCGGCTACTGACTGGAATCCGGTCAAGAAGCGAGCGCTCAGCCTTGGTGCTTAGCGCAATCCCAACACCAGCAACACCGCGAGCGTCGGATGCCGAATCGCCTGACATACGAAGGGCGAGGCGTGCGGATGAGGTTGGGTCAGGAGAACGCAGGGTGATCACCAAAGTAGGGTCTTGTATATGTGTTTTAGAGAGATAATGTATGTCCGAGATGGATGTTTCAAGGGTTCTAGCTAAGACAGTTTGTTGACCAATCTGGTAGGACGGGCGGACGGAGGACGCGCCCAACTGAAAAGGGAATTTTGGCTTCCAAAATCCTATAACTTCTGATTGTTTAACATTACTGGTACAACGCTGGGTGGTATCCGATGGGTGGCGTAAACAGGAGGCATCTGGGATTATTCGGGATTGAAAGGAAGAACTAGACCGGTGAGAAAGAGGGTTATCCAAATGGATACCTTTAGGACTTTAGGGCACAACATACTTCGCGGCGGCCTACACCGACGAAAAAGTTTTCCTTGGGAACCTTAACCGGTGTCTTTTACTCAATAGAATAACCCTCAAGGCAGTGGGCCGTAGATCCAAATCAGGAACGTGACTGAAGCACCCGTGTGGGGACCTGTAGAAACCTATCATACAAGGCTTTTGGGTTTCGCTTCGGTTTAATATTCGATGGTGCGTTGATTGCCGGTCGCTGATCGGGACTGGACCATAGTCTCATGCACCCAACGAAACAAGCGAAACGCGGACCGGACAGCACCTTATCGGATGGGGGCTGCCCAGTTTGGGTGAGGGGTAGCTATTCTTTATTACACACCCACGTGCGATCAGCAGCAGAAGGGACGAACCCCATAGTCCCGAGGACCTGCTGTTCAGTGGTGGAAACCGGCAACCTAAGCCCCGAGACTTGAGTGTCGAACCACATAAGGCCCCGATAGGTTAGACGTGGTATCGAACCGAACGACAGCGGGGCTGTCGAACACCAAATTAGGGTGGCGGTGGCGGGGCTCGAACCTCGGACCACAGGGTCCAAAGCACGCCGGTGACAGCGACTACACCTC